GGCAAAAGGAATGTGGCTATGAGCACAGCATAGAAGACCGTGCGTATCTGCTAGAAAACAATAGTGAACATAAAGCAGAACACAGAACTGCTGACAAGCATAAGCTGGGCCCTCCCCAGTTGATCTGAGTGTGCAGCAACTTTTGCCAACTTGCCAGAGAGACAGCTCTGAGAGAGGGAAGCTCCTTGGCTTCCCACTTAGCAGGAAAGCACTTTTTGTTTTCTGCCAAATGCAAGCAGACAAGATCCCAGATTGCCTAGACCCACCCTCAGCAGAGAGGACTGGGTGAGCTACTTGAATCTCCTTTACCAGTTTTTTTTTTTGGGGGGGGTTGAGACAGCCTCAAGCTGTCACCCTGGGTAAAGTGCTATGGCATCACAGCTAACAGCCACCTCCAACTCCTGGGAACAAGCAATTCTCCTGTCTCCGCTTTCCAAGTACCTGGGACTACAGGCACCCACCACAATGCCTGGCTATTTTTTTGGCTGCAGCCGTCATTGTTGTTTGGCAGGCCCCGGGCTGGATTCAAACACGCCAGCTCAGGTATATGTGGCTGGCACCTTTGCTTGAGCCATAGGCACCGAGCCTCCTTTACCAGTTTTTAATTAGATAATTTGGTTTTCTTCTTATGGAGTTGTAGGAGTTCCTTTTCTTTTCTCTCCCTCCCCTCCCCTCTCTTTTGACAGAGTCTCACTCTGTCACTCTGGGTAGAGTGCTGTAGAGTCACAGTTCATGGCAACCTCAAACTCTTGGGCTCAAGGAATCCTCATGCCTCAGCTTTCTGAGTAAGTTGGACTACAGGTACCTACCACCTGTAGTTTTTCTATTTTTAGGAGACTGGGATCTTGCTCCTGCTGAGGCTTGGCTTGAATTCTGAGCTCAAAGGATCTACCCACTTGGGCCACCCAGTGTGCTGAGATTACAGGCAGGAGCCACTGCATCCGGCCTGTCTATATTTTTTTGGATTTAAACCTCTCATCAGATATATGGTTCACAAATACTTTCTTCATCTGATCAGCTGCCTTTTTACTCTGTTAGTTGTTTCCTGTGCAGGAGCTTTTTAGTTTGATGCCCCACTTATCTATTTTTGGTTTGTTGCCTGTGTTTTTGGGGTCATATCCAGGAAATCATTGCCAAGATCAATATTATAAGGAATTTCCCCTATGTATTCTTCTTAAGTTGTATACTTTGTAGTTGTAGGTCTTCCTTATTTAAGTTCTCAATATATTTGAGATAGGAGTCCTTTGCTAGATGCTTGTGTTGCAAATAACTTTTCTCAGTCTTTAGATTCTTTCTTTTTTTTTTTTAGCTGGCTGATGCTGGTCTCAAACCTGTGAGCTCAGGCAGTCCACCTACCTCAGCCTGTCAGAATGCTGGGATTGCAGGTGTGAGCCACTATGCTAGGCCTTTCTTTTTCCTTTCTATTTGTTCAAAAAGTAAAGGGCTGTGCTTGGCGCCTATAGCTTAGCAGTTAGGGCGCCAGCTACATACACTGGAGCTCACAGGTTCAAATCTAGCCCAGGCCTGCCAAACAATGACAACTACATCCAAAAAACAGCTGGACGTTGTGGCAGGTGCCTGTAGTCCCAACTACTTGGGAGGTTAAGGCAAGAGAATGGCGTAAGCCCAAGAGTCTGAGGTTGCTGTGAGCTGTGATGCAACAGCACTCTACCCAAAGCGACACCCTGAGATTCTGTCTCCAAAAAAAACAAAAAAAAGTAAAGAGCTGGGCAGGATGACTCACTCCTGTAATCCTATCACTCTGGGACACTGACACAGGTGGATTGCTTGAGCTCAGGAGTTTAAGACCAGCCTGAACAAGAGCAAGACCCCATCTCTAAAAATGTGTGGGTGCTGTGGTTGGCTTCTATACTGAGGCAGGAAGATCAATTAAGCCCAGGATTTTCAGGTTGCTGTGAGCTATGCTGATGCTAGGGTACTGTAGCCTGGGCAACAGAGTGAGACTCTGTCTCCAAAAAAAAAAAAAAAAGTTAATTATATATGGTAATAAATTGTCAATTAGTGGGACTTGCCTAACAGCTTATCAACATTTTCTTTTTCTTTTATTGAGATAGAGTCTCAAGCTGTCACCCTGGGTAGAGTGCTGTTGTATCACAGTTCACAGCAACCTCAAACCCCTGGGCTTATGTGATTCTCTTGCCTCAGCCTCCCAAGTAGCTGGAATTATAGGCGCCCGCCATAATGCCGGCTATTTTTGTTGTTGCAGTTTGGCCAAGGCTGGGTTTGAACCTGCCACCCTTGGTATATGGGGCCAGCGCCCTGCCCATGGAGTCACAGGTGCTGCCTCCCTCTAAGAGTTTTAAATTATGGATTAAAAGTTTC